TGAGATCATGACCTGAGTCGAAGGCAGACACTTCCCTGCCTGGGCCACGCGGGCGCCCCTCTGTCAGAATCTTTATGGCAGTTGCTATTTCTCCAGTTATCAACTTTATAGACCTTTTAGTAATCTTTCTTAGGGGGCGCCTGGGTGGCTCAGTGGTTTAAAGCCTCTGCCTTCGGCTCCGGTCATGGTCCCAGGGTCCTGGGATCGAGTCCCGCATCCGGCTCTCTGCTCAGTGGGGAGCCTGCTTCCTCCTCTCCCTCTCTCTCTCTCTGCCTGCCTCTCTGCTTACTTGTGATCTCTGTCAAATGAATAAATAAAATCTTTAAAAAAAAAATCTTAGGAATGGTAAGAATTTAACTCATCCCACCAAATGAATTATATATTCACTCTTCTGTTGTATTTTACTTTGAAATAGAGCTAACCTTTATTTCTTATTCTATCAACTTTATACAGATCTCTTAAATCCCCTCTATCAGAATATTGGCCCTTATCCTCAATTCGTTCAGTCTCTCATTATTGCTATCAGCCGCCCACCATCCAATCTATCAGGTACATTTTGCCTTTTAAATTATGAAAAAGACAATAAATAGGTATACACACACACACACACACACACACACACACACAGAGGCAGACTTGTGTGACTTATCTATATATTATAAACTTGGAAATAAAATAGCACTTGGTCATTATGAGGAGGTAAATATTCTGTGAACAGTTGGAGCCAAGTAATACGTGGTTACATTTCTCTGTAGGTCCAGTGTTACGATCCCAGTCTGCGCTTAAAGTAGTCTCTTCCTAATATCAGTCAAATGGAGTTAATTTTTTTTATATTCTATTTTCCAGAATCACACCACATTTCATGTGGGCTTGTTTTATACACAGACCTGATAATGGGTATAGTTTCCCCTTTGTTTTTCCCAAAACCAATAATTGCCTTTCTTTCCTTTTTCCTAAGGGAAACTTGTCTTGAGCATATTGCTAAAATCCTCCAGCTTCATACTTAACGTAACCTGTTCCAGTCTTCCTGAAGATTCACGGAGTCCCTGAGTTCCTAGCCTTCCAGTAATTTGGTCTGTTGTGGAGCGATCCTCCTAGTCGTCCTCAACACCGCTTTCCCAGCTTAGCTTTGTTGTTTATTGAAGCCTTTTCTGTTGCCTCCTTCCCCCTCCATCTAAATTTTACTAAAGCTGATCCTTTATACCCTAATAAAGGGTAAAGGAGAGTAAACCAAAGAAAACCGCATATATAGAATATCGGTGTTTGGCCTCGTGCTTTATTGTTGCTTGGGTATAGACTTTTAGAGTCAAAGTAATTTTACCTCAGAACTTGGAAGGTGCTGTCCCGTGTTCTGTGAGCTAATACTGCTAACCGGAGGGAAGGCTACACTATTTTGAATGTTCTTTTTAGGAGACATTCACTTTTTTTTTTTTTTAAAGCTTTTTAGGATGGTTTCATCTTCAGTATTCTGAAATTTCACAAGCATATTTCTCAGTGTCTTTTTTTCTGTTGTAATTGTGCTTTTTGCCAGTTCAGCCTGCCCAGCACTCAGTGAGCTATTCCAAGCTGAACAGTCATAACTTTCTTCAGTTTAGAAAGATTCTCAATCATTTATTTGGTATATCCCTTATATTTTCTCTGTAAACTTTTCTGAAACTCCTATTAATTAAACTTCTATGTCCTTTTGTTTCTTACTTTTTATGAATGTGGAAAGTTTTCTTAATTTTTCTTTAAACTTCTATTAAGTTTATTACAGCAATAATGTCTTTTCATTCTTAGGAGTTCTGACTTATCTTTTCTTCCTAGAAAACGGGTGATTATTTTCTGGACATATTCTTTTTTAAAAAAGTGATTTTTAAACATTTTAATTCCAGCATTTAGTTAGCATTGTTTAAATATTAGTTTCAGGTGTACAATACTATCTAATTCTTTTTTTTTTTTAATCATTTGAGAGAGCACAAGCCTGGGGAGGGGCAGAGAGAGAAGCAGAGTTCCTGCTCACCAGGGAGCCTGACATGGGGCTTGATCCCAAGAAGATCATGACCTGAGCCGATAGTAGACTTTTAATCAACTGAACTACCCAGGCGCCCTTCTAATTCTTTTTTTTATAGCTTTCCATATTTACCTGTTCAAATCTGACATAAATTTTTAGTTTTCTTCTATCATTACATAACTTTCTTCACTGTAGGTTTAGTTCTGTCTTTTGGTCCTTATCATCCTGATAGTTTTCTTCATATTTTATGATCCTTAACTGTTCCAATATTCAAGAATGATATAGCTTGTGGAATCTGGCTGGCTCAGTCAATAGAGTATGTGACTCTTGTCCTGGTGGTGTTTGAGCCCCACATTGGGTGTAGAAATTACTTAAAAAAAAAAAAATGATAAAGGCTTGTTTACCCTAGGTACATATAGATCAGTTTCCCTGAATAGGAAGGGTCCTCTTAACCAGAATACCCGATCCGTCTCCTCCCTAGAAGGAACACTTATCATTTGGGTGTGTCTCTCCAGAACCTTTTTGAAACATTTGCATACTTACTTAAATGCATTAGAAAAGTTTTAAAAACATTTAATACTACGCAAGTCTACAAAATTTGCTGTTTCAATGTCCTTTAGTCAAATCCATCCAAGTCAGTGTCCTTGGTGCATTCTTTCAAACTGCTGCTAATATTTCAAGCCCCGTGGAAATTTAGATTGTTTCCAGTGTTTCACGTACTAACCATACTGCCCTCCAAAGGGACTGGACTGTGGTGAACATCTTAAAAACGTCACTGCCTCCAAAGCGGCAGTGAGGAGCTCTTCCTGCTCCGCAGCCGCCACTTTTTCAGAGCGCGCTGTTTAAATTGGCATCTCAATACCAGTGAGGTTAGGCACACGCATCAGCCACCTGTTTCTTCTAGGATTTGCCTATTCTCATATTTTGTCCATTTTTATACTTGCTTAGTTGGCCTTTGCTTATTTATAGGTGTTCTTACATCTTTCCCTTTGTATTATATTACAAAGAATTTCCTCCTTTTTGTTGTTTTATATTTTAAGAGTATTTTCTTTTTTACAAACCTGTGTCCGACACCAATTAATATATCCTACTGTATTTTCTTATAATACTTTTACTTGTTAGTTTTACATTTAAGATTTTAATCAATTGGAACTCCCTTTTTGTGGATGGTGTGAAGTAAGGATCCTGTTCAATTTCTAGAAGAGAGGGTGGAGTGAGGAAACTGTTGGCTTCCACACAGAAAAGCCTTTCACAGTCTTGTCATTGTTTCTCCTTATTACCAACCTCCCCCACAACCCCAGCCTCTATATACAAACCAGCCTGAAGTTCAGCGTCCTCTGGGGATGTACACAGCATTTGGGCAGAGTGGCTCCTGTTACTAAAATCCCTATCGTTCAAACATTTCAGGTCACAGCAGCCTCTGCTACATTTCATGAAGGAACACTCTCCTCCCTTTTGTCTTTTATTTGTTCCTCTTTTCATCCACTGATGACCCTGTTTTCTGAACTTTTTTTGGTATCTTTTACATTATATTATCCATTTAATGAGATATGGAAGGAAGGTAAATTTATATACTGTTTGTTAACTACAAAAGAAAATCTTGATTTTTCTAATGAAAATTCTGATATTGACAAATTGCCTTTCCAAAAATGTGTACAAATTCATACTCCCACACGTACTCCTTTCCTGTTTTTGCAATGTGTATTTTTTTATCAATCTGATATTGACAGATGGATAGTTCATTGGTTTAACTTGTATTTCTCCGGATTCTAGTGACGTTCAGTATTTATCTTACATTCATTTCCTGTTTCTTCTTTATATCCTTTGCCATGGGAATAGTAGTGTCATTTTCTAAGTGATTTGTAGGAGCACTTTCATGTTAAGGATATGGATTTCATGTATGTTGTAATAATTACTTCTAATACTGTTATTTAAAAACTCTGTGTTTATACTCTTGATTAGATGAAAGCCTAATAAAGTTCTTACATAGTCAAACCTAGAATCTTATGTTTGTTGCTTCTGGATCTCATGTCTTGTTTAGGAATTACGATTATGAATTATGTTACTGTGTCCTCTAATAACTCATACAAATTTGGATTGAAGAAACTGGTTTTGTACAGAGTAGAATCAATTTTAACGATACTGTTAAGCCACTGACAAATTACTTTTATTTATATATGTGTTTGTATGAATGTATAGGTGTGTATGTTCACATGCACACAATGTTTCAAACCTTAAAAAATTCTTCTTAGGATTTTGATAGGTACAAAGAATCTGTAGATTAATTTTGGGCCTCCTAACATCTTGAGAATAGTCTTCCCCTGCAGGATAAAGTGTCTATTCAAGTCTTCCTTTTCACTCTCCATTTCATCAGTTTCTTTGTACCTATATTCATATGTGAATTAGTTACTAAGGTGATTGCATATTCAAAGCCTCCAGGAGTCAGGAAGTAACACAAAATGTAAAATAAGTCCGATGTACAGGAAGGAGGAATGGTTTGAACTGTGGAGAACTGGAAAACACATGCCCAAATAATTTGTATTTTTTTTTTTTAATTCATCTTAAACTTGATGAGTACCAAGTCAAACATGTTTGTGCGCCACCAGTTTATGAGTATTGGTCTGTAATTTTCTTCTCCTCTAGTTTTAGGAATTATAGTTTAAAACTACCTTAACAATATTTTCAGTTTTAAACAACATGGATTTAATGTAGTTCAACCACCTGGAATTAGGAGAGGGCTTCAAATTTATATTTTATGTTCTATTCTTTGGTTATTGATTTTTTTGTCTTTTTAAAAATATCTGTTTTGCCTTTGTCTTACTCAAATGATGAATATATCTCAGTAAATCCTACTTATTACTTCTGATTTTTAAAATCTGGCTTCTTAGAACTGTTGAGTATCTAATGAAGTTAGTTCTTCTTACCAACAAAGTCATGCCTTACTCTATATCCTTATGGACTTTAACATCAGTGCTACTCTGTTCAATACCCTTATCACCCGCCTTCCGAACTGTTCCTAATCCCAGTTCTTTATAATCTCTTCAGTCTTGAACTGCTGCTGATTTTGTTATTTCTCAGATGAACCTTGCTGAGATGATCAGGTCCTCTTTGTATACCACAGCATCTTTTTATTTTATGGTAACATTTATTAAATGATTATGCTAGGCACTCTGAGCAATTTACATGCATTCTCTCATTTAATCCTCCCATCAACTTTTGAGGTAGTACTATTATTATTTCCATAATATAAATAAGAAGACTGAACCTTACAAAGAACAAAATGTTTCTCTGAAACTAGAGGTTTAGAAAATGGATGAGCAGGGATCAGAACCCAAATTGGTTTGATGCTGGAATATGAGTTCTTAATTCTGGATAAATAGCCAAAGAATGAGATGGATTTTGACATGAAATAGGTTCTTTGGAAGGTATACTGGGACAAGGTATTTGGGGCAGGAGGGTCTTTTAGGATGTTTTGAGGAATGTGTGCTTTAACCTAAGAACTGTGGGGTACCAGTGAAGGGTATCGATGAGGAAGCGATATGAACTTTTAAAATACAAGTTTGACCACAGTGGAGGCAACTGACAAAGGAAATGGTAAATACGGGGAGACCAATCAGAAGCTATTTCCATAGTGCATATGAAGTAGATTACTGTGTATTGGACAAAGATGATGGAATGGAAATGGATTAAAGGAGTCAGATTCAAGGCATATTTAGGAGATAAAACCAACAGGTCTTGGCAACTGACTGGACATGGAGGGTGAGGGAGTGGAAGGAGTCAAGAATGACTCCATAGTATGAATTCTCTCATGCTGGGCAAGATGGGCACGCTGCCTGAAAGATTTTCTGCAATCCTTACATTCATAGGGTCTCTCTCCTGTATGAATTCTTTGATGTAGAGTAAGAGATCCACTATAGCTAAAGGCCTTCCCACAAATGTTACATTCATAAGGTTTCTCTCCAGTATGAATTCGCTTATGCTGAGCGAGGCCTGCATTCTGGCTAAATGTTTTCCTGCATTCCTTGCACATATAAGGTTTTTCTCCAGTATGACTCCTCTGATGCTGTGCAAGTGACGAACTATTGCTAAAGGCCTTCCCACATTCAGCACACTCATAGGGTTTCTCTCCAGTGTGAACCCTCTGATGTTGATCAAGGTACGCAATCTGGCTGAAGGCTTTCCTGCATACTTTACATTCATAAGGTTTCTCTCCAGTGTGAACTCTCTGATGTTGAGCAAGGTGTGCATATTGGCTGAAGGCTTTCCTACATTCCTTACATTCATACGGTCTCTCTCCAGTATGAATTCTCTGATGTACAATTAGGTATCCACGATGGCTAAAGGCTTTCCCACACACATTACATACATAGGGTTTCTCTCCTGTATGAATTCTCTGATGCTGAGCAAGAAATGAACCGTTACTGAAGGCTTTTCCACATTCAATACATTCAAAAGGTCTCTCTCCAGTATGAACTCTCTGATGTTGAGCCAGGTGTGCAATTTGGCTGAAGGCTTTTTTACATTCTTTACACTGATAAGGTCTCTCTCCAGTATGAACTCTCTGATGTTGAGCCAGGTGTGCGTTCTGGCTAAAGGCTTTCCTACATTCTTTACATTCATAGGGTTTCTCACCAGTATGTATTCTCTTATGTTGAGCAAGGTTTGCACTCTGGCTGAAGGTTTTCCCACATTCAACACATGCATAGGGTTTCTCTCCAGTATGAATTCTCTGATGAAGAGTAAGGGATGAGCTCTGATTGAAAACTTTCTCACATTCATTACATTTCAAAAGTTTCTTCTGTATATAGACTTTCTTATGTTTCATTTCAACAGATTTTTTCCGGTAACTTCTCTTTTGTGGTTCATGCTTATGTATTCTTTCTTTGGTGGGAAAAGTCTTTTTTATATCAAATATTGCATCCTGATGGAAAGTTTGCCAAGATTTAGTATATTCATTACTTGGATCTTCAGTAAGGATTCCTTTATGAGTGATGATCAGTTGTCTGGAATGTACTTCCTGACTTCCTGACTGGTTCTTAAGCCAGTCCTCACTTTTACAGTCTTCTCTCAAACTGGGGCAGTCAAGGCTGTAACTAAGATGGCTTCTCCCCATTTTCACTAGTTTGGATGTTTCTTCATAAATAACTTGCTTTGATGAAAACTCATTGTTTTCAAATGTATACTCCCAATCTAAAAGATATCAAGAAAACAAACGTCTATTTGTTCATCAGAAGAGAAGACTTCTAAAAGAAAAATTGGTGAATAAAATACATAAGAAGTTTGGGGATTTAACAGCTGTTAAGATGCAGTCTAAAAAGTATGAGATTAGGGCACCTGGGTGGCTCAGTTGTTGAGCGTCTGCCTTTGGCTCAGGTCGTGATCCCAGGGTGCTGGGTTTGAGCCCCGCATCAGGCTCCCAGCTCCGTGGGGAGCCTGCTTCTCCCTCTCCCACTCCCCCTGCTTGTGTTTCCTCTCTCACTGTGTCTCTTTCTGTCAAATAAATAATAAAAATCCTTAAAATAAAATAAAACATATGAGATTATAAAGAATGAAAAACTAAGAATTAGGATATAAATTAGAAACTGAAGAAGCTATTTAAAATCCCAATAATTTTTTATCTAATTTACTATTACAGTCTCCAAATACCCTTCCTTCCTTGCCTCAGGTTATACTTCATTCAAGCTAAGTCCATTATCTTTAAAAAGTCAATTTCATAAGGTCAGTGTAGCTGAAAAAAAAATTTCCATAAGATCCCCAAACCCAGAGATAGACCAGGTACTATTATTTGCTTTAGGTTGTACATGCCAACTATGGCTAAACTTTTGTAGCTTGTAGCTTAGAAAATGTCTTTTTGGGGCATGTGGCGGGCTCAGTCAGTGGAGCATGTGACTCTTTCTCTTGGGGTCATTAGTTCAAGCCCCAAATTGGGTGTGCAGCCTACTTTTTAATAAAAAAAGTCTTCTTGGGCGTCTGTGTGGCTCAGTGGATTAAGCCTCTGCCTTCGAGTCCCACACAGGCTCTCTGCTCAGCGGGGAGCTTGTTTCTTCCTCTCTCTCTGCCTGCCTCTATGCCTACTTGTCATCTCTGTCAAATAAATAAATAAAATCTTAAAAAAAAAAAAGTTTTCTTGTCAGGCATTTTCTATGTGATATATTTTAACAAAATGTAAATTTTTAAAAAATATTTTATTTATTTGAGAGAGCTAGTGAGCACAAGTTGGGGGAAGGGCAAAGGGAGAGGAAGAAGCAGACTCCCCACGGAGCGGGGACCCCAGTGCAGGATTCCATCCCAGGACTCCAGGATCAAGACCTGAGCCAAAGGCAGATGTGTATCCAAATGAGCCACCCAGGTGTCCATGAAATGTAAATTTTCAGTTTTGACCCCAAGCTAAAATGCCTTCACATAAAATTAATTTTATATAGGGGACCTGGGTGGCTTAGTCAGTTAAGTGTCCAACTCTTGATCTCAGCTCAGGTCTTGATCTCAGGGTTGTGAGTTCAAGCCCCACATTGGGCTCTAGAGTGTGGAGCCTACTTACAAAAAGTAATTTTGTATCAAACTGCTTCATTTTATGAACCTGCCACAGGGCTTAACTTGCTACCTTCTTTCCATTCCCCAATCAAATCATCTCTTCTGCTCAACACTTCCCAGTGGTTTCTCACATTTATAATAAAACCAAAGTTCCTACTAATGGTTTACAAAACAATGTAATACATGAACATAAATGTAAAACCTTTAGTAAAATTACTGCAAATCAAATTCAGGAAAATATGAAAGTATAATTACCAAGAAGAGTTTATCCCAGGAATGCAAGATTGGTTTAATATGTGAAAACCAGTGTAATTCACCACATTAACAGATTAAAGGTGGAAAATCATATGATTATTTCAATAGATGTAGAAAGAGTATTTGGTTAAACTCAACATCTGTTTATTATAAAACTTCTTAGCAAAACCAGGAATAGAAGTTTGTCAAATTGATAAAGGGCAAAAATAAAACAAAACAAAACTGATAAAGGGCATCTATGAGGGACGCCTGGATGGCTCAGTGGGTTAAAGCCTCTGCCTTCGGTTCAGGTCATGATCCCAGGGTCCTGGGATCGAGCCCCGCATTGGGCTCTCTGCTCAGCAGGGAGCCTGCTTCCTCCTCCTCTCTCTCTCTGCCTGCCTCTCTGCCAACTTGTGGTCTCTGTCAAATAAATAAATAAAAATCTTAAAAAAAAAAAAAGGGCATCTATGAAACATCAACTTAATGGTGAAAGACTGAATGCATTTTCCCTTAAGATTGAGAATAATCCAAGTATATCTACTCCTAATAATTCTTTTCAACATTTGTAGAAGATGTCCTTGCTACTGCAGTAAGTCAAGAAAAAAAAAAACCTGTAAGATTAGAAAGGAAGAAATAAACTGTAGACCTAAATCTATCAAGATCATAAGATATAAAGTTAATATAAAAATCAATTTACATTTTTGCATACTAGCAACAAGCAAGTAAAAAATGGAATTCTTAAGAATTCTATTTATAAGTCACCTGGGTGGCTCAGTTGGTTAAGCCTCTGCCTTTGGCTCAGGTCATGATCCCAGGGTGCTGGGATCAAGCCCCACATCAGGCTCTCTGCTCAGCGGGGAGCCTGCTTCCCCCTCTCTGCCTGCCTCTCTGCCTACTTGTGATCTCTGTCAAATAAATAAAATCTTTTTAAAAAATTACATAAAGAACTCTTTTAACAATTTGCTCATGAGAAAAACAAAAGAATAAAACATGGGCAATGGCACCTGGGTGGCTCTGACTTCGGCTCTGGTCGTGATCTCAGGGTCCTGGGATCAAGCCCCGAATCGGGCTCTATGCTCGGCAGGGAGCCTGCTTCCCCCACCCTCACCCCCGCCTGCCTCTCTGCCTACTTGTGATCTCTGTTAAATAAATAAATCTTTTTAAAACATGGGCAAAAGATTTGAACACTTAACAAAAGATATGAATGGCCAATAAGCACATGAAAAGGCATTCAGCATTATGTCATCAGAGAATTGCATGTTGAAACCACAATGAGATACCACAACACAACCATTAGAATGAGTAAAAGTAAAAACTGAAAATACAAAGGTGTGAAGATACAGAGGAAATGGAAGTCTCAGATATTGCTATGGAGATGAAAATGGTACACTTGGGAAAACTGCAGCTGCTTAGAACGTTAAACCTATTCCTTTTGTATGACTCTTTGCACGTTCAGATACTTACCCAAGAGAAATGACAACATACATGCACACAAAGTCCTGTAAATGACAGCTTCACGGCAGCTTTATTTATAATAGCCAAAACCTGGAAACAGCCCAACTGCCCATGAACAGATAAAGAAACACAAAATGTGGGATGTCTGCACAGTAGACTTTACTACTCAGCATAAAGTAGTCATACATGCAAACATATGGGTGATTTGCAAAATTATGAGTAAAATAAGCCAGACACAACAATATATACTATATGAATCCATAATTCAGATGGAAGCTAAAGTGACAAAGATCAGATTAGTGTTTGAAGCCAGGAGGACAAAAATGGACTGCAAGGTGGCACAGGCTGTCTTTTGGGGTGATGGAAATACTGTATTTCTTGACTGTGGTAATGGTTTCATGGGTATATACAACAGTCAGAATTCGTCACATTGTAGGAGTATATGGATGCAATTTACTACATGTAATAATTCCTTAATAAAGTTACTAAGAAAAAAATAGATGGAAACAAGAAAGGTAAATAAAGATAGACTTCAATAACATAGAAATAGTAAAACTCATGTAATAAGCTCTTAACACTGAAAATAGAACTTAACCTTGGAACCTATGGAACATTTTACAGACACCAACTACATATTATGCCATACAAAATTCTTAAGTGTCAAAGAATTAATACTAGTCCTATTTGATCAAAATACATTAAAACCAGAAAAATTTCTTTTTTTTAAAAGATTTATTTATTCATTCCACAGAAGGAGAGAGAGCGAGCATGTGAATATGAGGGGGGAAGGTGAGAGGGAGAGAGAGACACTCAGACTTCCCATACAGCGGAGAGCCCCACCCAGGGCTCAATCCCATGACTCTGAGATCATGACCTGACCCCAAATCAAGAGATGGATGTTTAACTGACTGAGCCATCCAGGTTCCCCCAGAAAACCTACTTTGTTTTTTTTTTTAAAGATTTTATTTATTTATTTGACAGAAATCACAAGTAGGCAGAGAGGCAGGTGGGGCGGGGGGGAGGCAGGCTCCCTGCTGAGCAGAGAGCCCAATGCGGGGCTCAATCCCAGGACCCTGAGATCATGACCTGAGCCGAAGGCAGAGGCTTTAACCCACTGAGCCACCCAGGCGCCCCCAGAAAACTTACTTTTAAACAACTCTCGTGTAAAAGAGAATTTTTTAAAAAGTAGGTTATCTAAGAAACAGCAATAATGAAAATAGTGAGTATTAGAATCTCTGGAGGACAGCTGAAGCTATATTTCAGAGGAAAATTCATAGCCCCTAATTAGTGAATAAGACAAGTAAACAAATAGATTAAGCATTTGTTTCAGCAAAATGGAGAAAAAAAAATAAACCTAAGAAAATGAGAATAATTGCATTAGGGAAAGCAGAAAATAAAGAATTGGAAAAGTGAATAATGGTAACACTAATAAATCCATAAGCTGGATTTTAAAAATAAAATTAATGTCTAGCTTACCTAATATATTTTTTAAAAAGAACAGCTATGCAAAATAAAGTTGAAAACTATAGCTATAAAAAAAGAATTATAAGATTATATTCTTCAGATTCATGGAAATACATTTGATAACATAAATTAAGAGATAGTTATTTGGAAAAGTAAAAATTTGTAAAATTTCACCCAACACAGAAACTGTAAAGAGACTACCAGAGAGAACATTCAGAAAGTTGTCAAAGATCCACTTTCCCAAAAAGGCCCCCATGCCAGGTTTTATCTCAAACTGTAAAACTACGTGATCTCATCCATTCATACTGGCATCTCTAAATCACTTTTTTCTGAGCCTGTCCCCATCTAGTGGCATGTTGTGTTTCTTCACTCAGCAGTTTCTCCATCTTGTAAAAATAAGTCTCATGTCCTAAGTCAAATTATCATCTTCCCCCCCTACCAGTATATTCTTTTTTCTATTAAACCGTCTCACTTTCCAGTTACCCAGACTTGAAAATATAACTGGAAATTCTTTCTGTGATGGTTAATAAGCCTCTGAATAACCTTGAGAATTTAGCAGAATAATTTTCTCAAAGTAAACACTCAATGAATCTTGGTAAAAGAATAAGCGAATGAATAGATGCATCAAACCTTCATTCTAAAAGGAATAAGTGACTGAAAATGAAAAAAGAGACGTTGCTGTGTCTAGATTTTTTAAAGTATGATGGGGCAACTTGTACAAAACTAAAAAGCAAGAACAAGCAGACACTGACATTTTGGACCCAGAGAATAGGAAAAGGTTATCAGAGAAGAACGTAATCTGTGAGACAATATATACAAGGAGAATAAGTTAGGGAGATCATGCCAATGGCACCTCAGTGCTTCCTCCCAGGCCGTACGCCTTTAAGAAAAATTACCCAGGAAACATCAATGATAAGCTGGAACCTCTGAGAACAGCTGAGCTTTTCCTCGCAATGGCCTCTTCTACCTTTCTAGTTCTTTCCCACTCACCAGGGCACGTGCCTCTTGTCCCCTCCTTCTTCACCATCCAGGGTTCTTTTCCTTGTTCCAATAATGAGATCACATCTGGCTTAGAAACTGAAACTCCTGCTTACAAGAAACAAAGGGGGAATTAGCTGGGCCTATAAGTCAGATCAAGGTGTTTAGTCATCAGGAAGTCAAGGGCATTATAGAAGGAAGCAGAGGACGAGGTGAAGTATTCTGAAGAAAGGGGAAAGTGACGTTGTAACAACAGTCCCGTGAAGCTGCCAGTTCTACACACTCAGTCTATTTTGGGAAGCACAAGAAAGGGAAACTTAGTGAAGTAAATCGGAGGCTTCCCAAACATTGGAAAGCAGCCCTATGTGCGGATTCTGAATTCTGGGGAAGCTCCTTACCCAGTGATACCAGGCTCCTATAGGTCTCCAACATCACCTTTCTGTACAGATTCCTCTGAGCAGGGTTCAGCCATTTCCACTCCTCTTGAGAGAAATCTACAGCCACATCCCCAAATGTCACCAAATCCTGAAATGACATGAATATATTCTTGTATGCTCAACTAGAGTCTTCACCTCAGATTGGCATAGTTTAAAGAGTTAATTTGTACTTTTGGAGAGAAATATTGCATATAGCAAAACTTTCTGGCAATATTCTCTCTGCTTGGTTTTAATATTTTCTCATGGAAAGTATACTGTTTCTAACATAGTCTCTATTGATGGGGAAAAGAGCAAATGAGCAAAATAATTGTTATTCATACTAAATGCTAATGCATTTCTCAATATGGAAAATCAGGATAGACTAGAGCAGTGAAGAAAGGCTTTAAGGAGGAGGCGGGAACATGAGTTTCACCCTATAAGTTTTACGTGGTCTAAACCTATATTTCCCGAGCTCTTCAATGGAATGGCTAATGTTCCAGCTGGATCAGTAGGGTACATACATAAATATATTTGATGCTTGTAACACTGATTTCCTAAAACTAAACATACAGGTAATAAAAGTATTAAACAAGTTCCATAGTGATTTTGCAAAAATATAACTTAAATGAACGTATGCCGTAAGAGAACGACTGGGGCAATAAGATTATCCGACAGCTCTTGATAACCCCACTGAGTTTCAAAGACAGTTGGTAGCTGTAACAAAGACAAAATAGAGTAATTTTAAGCACTATTAGATAGTGAACATTTCAGATGTGATAATGAAGTACAACAAAAAATCCTCACAGCTCTCACTAGAGGAACATACCCAGTTGTGCAGGTCTAATGTGTGAGAGTTTTTAAAATGTTAAAGTACAGTTCTCAAGTAATACTCCGTTGAATAAAGGATCTTTATAACCCGGAATAAGACCTTGTCTGCTTCCTAAAAATTCAAACCGGTGTTCTTCCGCATGAGGTACATCTGCTGCAGACTTACTAGGGCTTTCATATGGTTTGCTTTATGCCACTGTGGTGTGGCATGTCACAGAGCAGAGCGTGCTCCTTATCTGGGCTGATACACAGACGCAATTAACGGTACATATCTGACGAGCTGAACTGACTCATTAAATCCTGAAACAATGCCACTGGCTGGTAAACAGCTACTGCACTGAGCCCTGCTAGTGACCATCACAGATCTCCCCACAACCCAGCAACTTAAGGGGGAATGCCCAGCACGGCAGCAGCCTCCAGTATCCCAGCTGGGGTAAGTTCTGGTGTGTGCCCTTGCCTCAGTGGTTATCGAATATGAACATCACTCCTATTAAGTGTGACTCTGCGGAGTAATGGTCCAATTGACAATGCATTTAAGCACATCAATGCTTTTATGCAGAAACATTTTTAATGGAGAAAATGAGTTCCTATGTAAATTGCTAGTGCCCAAGTAATGGACAAAAAATGTTTAAGGAGACTATAAGGGAAGCAGAAGTATGCCTCCAAGAAACATAAGTTACTTGCATCGGCTTGATCTCACATGCCTCCATCTCTAAAACACTTCTTAACACCGGGAAATACGGGAAGTGAGTAAAAGCTTCAAGGAAGGGAACATGAACTGAGTCTTAAAAGATGAAACTTGTCCTAGACAAGGCTGGCTACTGTCAGTCATCAATTCCATTAAAACTCAAACACTTCAGTATAAACTAATATTTTGTGCAAACAAAAATGTTCTACACACATTTCCTCAGTAAACAGAGACGAGGCAGCTTTTGCTAGCTAAAGTCCTTAAAAAACCTTGTTTAGCTTCACACACAAACTAATGCATTCCAGGTTTCAACTGTCTGATTGATCTTTTCCTCTTAGCCATTCAATGGGACTTGAATATCTTTAAAATGTTTTAGTATTTATTTTTATTTGATAAAACAGGAATTTCGTACAATTTATAATCATTAAGGAAACTTAACAAATAATGTCCAGTATTTCTACCCTCAGTGATTTTTCCTTTTTATAAATTGCAAGTCCTCCATCCCCATATCTACCCACCATGTCACCCTTCTTCCTAGAAACAACAAAAATTTACAGCTAGTATATATTTGTTCAAATATTTCCTCATACGGACGTGTCGATGATTATCTATCCGTGTTCATTATAACATCACTTTTGTTAAATGGATAACATTACGTGGTATAAAGATGCTGTATCTTTACTAACTCCCTGTTTATTTTCATTTACGTGAATCTGAATTTTTCACTATAATGTGAGAACAGTGATGCACACTATTTTTAAATGTTATAGTGCAGTTCTCATATAATACTACTGTATGAATTAAAGATTCAACAGAGGTCTCTGTGTCCTTAAAATAAATCCAAGGAGGTATTCTCTCCACTGAGACTAGGATTTCCCAAACTTACTTGACCTCAGAAAAAATTTTAAATTACACTTTTTGGTCTAGCAAGACTAGGAGCTAATGAAAAGATAATTCACTCTGGGACTAAAATGTTGACCTGCAAAGAAATACTAATTGTTCTTCGAGTAGAAGGAAATGGAAATGAAAATCAAGAAAAAAATCAAGAGCCTCAAAGGAATAACTATAAATATATTATCTACTACTACTACTACTAAGTTGGAGTTAAACCACTATAGAGGTCTTTTTTTGTTCAGGAAAGTAGTAAGAATACTAATTATAGAAGGAAGATTAAGGAAGGAAGGAAGGAAGGAAGGGAGGGATGGAGATAATTACATAATTAAAAATGGGTAGGGGCACCTGGGGGCTCAGTGGGTTAAAGCCTCTGCCTTCAGCTCAGGTCATAATCTCAGGGTCCTGGGATCAAGCCCCACATCCGGCTCTGCTCAGCAGGGAGCCTGCTTCCTCCTCTCTCTCTGCCTGCCTCTCTGCCTACTTGTGATCTCTGTCTGTCAAATAAATAAATAAAATCTTAAAAAAAAAGAAATGGGTAAATATCCTATAGTGGCCACTTAAAGAATAATAATGTGTAATTAATAAGATAAGGAGAAAGTACTTGATTTATCCAAAAGAAGCAAACAAGGAGAAATAAAGGAACAAAGAGATGGAGTAAGTAGAAAACAAATGGCAATATGACGGGCTTAAATATGTCAGTAATTACATTAAATGAAAATGTACTAAACACTAATTAAAAGACAAAGATTCTCAGACTGGATTTCTTTATAAATCAATGTTTTGATGGAGACATGGGATTTGGGGGAGGCACACGGAATCACGGAAGGCACACGGCCACTCAAATGCCTTCCTGTGAGTACAGAGAATCATGGGGGGCACAGAGCTGAGAGGCACACAGCTGACAACCAAGAAAGTGGTGTTTATAGAGGCACCCTTTAAATATAATCTTTAGAAACGAGAGGCTTTCAAAAACTGTGTGTTGTAAGGATCCTTGGACTTAATAAAAATGCAGTTTCCTGGGCCTCACCATCAGAGCCTGATTCACAAGGTCTGGGACGGGGTCCCAGAAACAGCATTTGGGCTGATGGGCTCTGTCTGTTCTACAGGACATACCCTCTGCTTTCTGCTTTTTCCGTTACCAATTTTGCAGCAGGAAAAAAGAAGTAGCCTGCTCTTATCCCTCTGATCTTACTCGCAGATGAGGAACTCACAGTCTTGTTCATTTATGTATTAGTTTGATGCATATTTCCTGAATGCCTACTACCTACAGTGTTCCAAGCACTGGGAATGCAAAGATAAACAAAATGCAGTTCCTCTGCTTGTGGAGTTAAGATTCTAACAGAGAAGAAAGACATTAAACATCAGGTCGTACAATGTCAGGTAGTGACACTGTGACAAAAAACCAGGGTGACTGAGAGTGAAGTGTGTTTGTTTTAGATGAGATAGATGGTCAAGGTAAACCTCAGTGAAGCGTAATGTTTAAACAACAATCTATTTTTTTTTTAAAGATTTTATTTATTTATGAGAGAGAGAGAGAGCGAGCACAGGCAGACAGAATGTCAGGCAGAGGCAGAGGGAGAAGCAGGCTCCCTGCAGAGCAAGGAGCCTGATGTGGGACTCGATCCCAGGACGCTGGGATCATGACCTGAGCCGAAGGCAGCTGCTTAACCAACTGAGCCACCCAGGCGTCCCTAAACAACAATCTAAAGGTGAGAATAAACCATGTCCGGATGTAAGGGAAGAGAATTATAAAAGAGGGAGGAGCAGATGCAAAGGTCCAGAGACAGGCAAGAGCTTGTGTGTGGAACAGCAAGCTGACCAGTGTGACTGGAGCACAGGAAGGTGAAGACCTGGAGAAAACGAGGTCTGGGGTAGCCAAGAGGGGGATCATGCAGGGCCGTGTAGACTGTGGAGAGGACACTGGGAAGCCAGTGAGGGTTCCAGGCAAAGGGAAATGATATACTCCATCACTGTTCCCCGGTCCTCCGTTATTTTCTACACGCTCTTCAAATCATCACTCACCAGCCTCACTGCCTACATCTGATACAATCACTAGTGACGTAGGTATGTCATTTTCCTCCCTTGGCCTGTCTTTCCTCATCTGTAAAATGAATGACTTAAACAAGATCACCCAAAACTTGGCATATATTTTTTTTCAAGATTTTATTTATTTATTTGATAGAGACACAGCGAGAGAGGGAACACAAGCAGGGGGAGTGGGAAAGGGAGAAGCAGCCTTCCCTCTGAGCAGGGAGCCGGATGCGGGCCTCCATCCCAGGACCCTGGGATCATGACCTGAGCCGAAGGTAGACGCTTAACGACTGAGGCCCCCAGGCACCCCTGGCATATATTATTTTATATTCACCTGGCTCTGTTATTTTATTAGCCTAGATCTATGCTGCCCAATACACAGCTACTAGTCACATGTGGCTATTTAAATTTAAATCAATTAATGTTAAAGAAATAAGGGAAATTGAGTGTGGTATATATTCTCTACTATTCACTATTTTTCTGGAATTTAAAAGTATTCTAAAATAAAAATTCATTGAAAAAAATTAATGTTAAAGATTGAGTTCCTCAGTCACACTAGTATATTGAAGTGTTCCATAGCCACAGGTAGCTAGTGGCTACCGTATGGGACAGTGCAGCTATAGAACATTTCTGTCATCAATCATCACAGGAAGGGTTTTTTTCCCCTTTTTTAAAGATTTTATTTATTTATTAGAGAGACAGCACTGAGCTGGGAGGAGAGGGAGAAGCGGTTCCCCTCAAGTAAGGAGCCCAATGCGGGGCTCGATCCCAGGACCCTGGAATCATGATCTGAGCTGAAGGCGGACACTTAACCGACTGAGCTGCCCACACATCCCTTACCATAGGAAGTGCTGCTGGACAGTGTTGCTCTAGTGGATTTCTGCTTCTGGTTCATCTTCCTCTTTACAGCCATTCTCTATATTTTCATCTAGTAGTTCATTTGGTTTTATTTTTTACATTTAACGTATAGAATGTATTTAACCTCAAAGTGTGAGGAAGAAATCTTTTTTCTAAATGAATAATCCATTCTGTCTCCACTGATTAAAAATAACATCACAGGGACGCTTGAGTGGCTCAGTCAGGCGTCTATCTTTGGCTTGGGTCATGATCCCAGGATCCTGGGATGAGTCCCACATCGGGCTCCTTGCTTGGTGGGGAGCCTGCTGCTCCCCCTGCTTGTGCTCTCTCTCTCTGACAAATAAAACTTAAGGAAAAAAAAGAATAAAATAACGTCACTTACATTATCATATAATAAACAAACTAGTAGGCATTAAACTCCATGAAAACAAAGACAGTGTTTATTTCCAGGGTGTAGTATATAGCAGTAAGTCTTTAATAACTCTATATTCAGTGAATGAATACATATTTTCCATTCTTATTTATACTTGTGTTTATTTCTGGACATTAGATATTGATCTTCTCATTTATTTCTTCTGGCTCCCATTCCATACTATTTATTCTTTCATTATAGATGTATGCAGCCATTTTAAAATGTAGATTCAAATACTCTCTTCTATTCTCATTTTTTCAAAAGGAAGTCCTATTTTTCCATAAATAATTCCACCAATCTTAACTGGATAACCCAGAATGTCCACTAATAACTCAGAATGGCCCTGTAACAGGACCTTACTACTCCCATGGAACCTTATTCTTCAGAGCTGATGGAGTGCCCTATTTGACCCACACTTTAATACTCAAAACCCAACACATACTACTCTTCAAAATCACCTTAAGCAAGAGATCTTGTCATGTCCTGTGACTAAGATAGCCCAACAGCCCTTGACTTGCCTTCCTCTCAAACCTAGGTCTATGAAAAAGCTCTAAGCTAATGACCACATCAAAATGTACCCTGACCTCCGTGAGTCAAACTCCTTACGTAGAAGACTCTCCTATCTCACCAAGGAGTACGTTTTTGCTTCTGAGAGCTTCTAACAGAACACCTAACCTGCAGGAGTGCTCAACTGTTTCTTGAATGAAGATGAAAATGCTGAGGAAAAAAAGGACCTCCTCACTGGGGACCACGTTTTACTGGATTGGGAGAACATGAGGACAAGGTCACTGAATGAATGGAGCTTTGTTAGCTGGGAAATTTCAGAAGAAAAGCATGTTTCTATGAAACCTGAAAAACAAAGCACCTCAGGGAGAAGAAATCCTCCCTTACCTTGGACATGGCTTTAAGAATTTAAGAATTTATGACAGCTCCTCTGTCCTCCTACTTCACGCTCCTCACTGGAAGGGCAGTGCCTGGAAAAATAAGGCTGGAGAGGTAGAAAGAAACCATAAATGGCACTATCAAGTCAGTATTATTTCCCCCCTTCACACAGGAAAGGTGTCGGTCAGTGAAATTACTGAAATTATCCAAGGCTCCGTGGTAGTAAGTGAGCGCAACTGGAATCCAGGTCTGACTTTTTAGTCTTCCCACCAGATAATGATCGTAAAAGAGAATATGCTACCACCCTTTTTTCAAAATAAGATAAAGCTACAAACAATGCCTCAGAGAAAGCATCTTCACACAGAGTAGGCATCAGAGGGGTCCTGTGGTCTGGAGGACAGTGGGCCAAAGAGCCGGAACACTGCTTGCGGTCCTGATTTATGACATACGGCACCTGGAAACCAATCTCTTAACTTTTCTGAGCAGTTTCCTCAAGAAGAGATGAGGGAGGGGACTATGCATTAATAGTCACTGAAACGCCTCCTCAAGAGTTGTTTTCCGTTAAACCTCGCTACCTTGGTGAGCGAAGCAGTTATCTCAAAAGCCGCGTAATGCTAAGAACCGCCACGTCTGAGGATCAGAACACCTGTCCTCGGCTACCGTCTACCGCGCACTAGCTCTGCAACCTGCATGACCCAGTAACCGCTCCAAACCTCATTTCCTCCTCGGTGAAATGGTACCTGCCTCCCATCCGTTGCTGGGAGGACCCTGAGACGGCCCACCGGAGGCATTTAGCATAGTGGTGGCCATAGCTTCGCGCTCGGTAGCAGGAGTCATGCCTGTTCGTGGACAGCACACAGTAGGCGAGCTGTCCACGAACACACATGAAGAGTCTAGGAGAGGAAAGGAAAGATCTTCCTTCCGTGCCACAGAAGGCTGGAGCCTGCTCGCCGGCCCTCCAGACCCGGAGTGGGGGCTCCCCTCTCCTTCCCTACCCGAGCGTTCCCCTTCATCTCAGTCCCTCTCAGGCTCTCCTGCCCGACACAGTCTCCCCGCCCGGAGCACCCTGGCTGCCCGGAGCACCCTGCCCCCCCCCCAAGAACCCGCCCCGCCCCCCGACCCCGCCGGAGCCACACAGTCCTCGGGCGGGCAGCTCTCCCGGCAGCCTGGCACCCGTGCACGCCCGGTGGGTCGCACTGTCACAGCAGCGTTAGGTCCCACAGCCTCACGCCGTCTCACATGGCCGGCCACACAGCCGCACACTCACCGTCACTGTCATGTCACAGACGTTCGCACAGTCACACACAGGGGCACGCACACGGTGACAAGGTGTCACACACGGCGACACGGTCTCCCAAGGTCCCAGGCCCCCTCGTACGCCCGCCCCAGCCCCGCAGGCCTGCCCGGGCGTGCGCCCGCCCCCGGCGTCCTCACCGCCTCCTCCCCGCGGGTCGGCACCACCCTCCGCGCCGGCGGCCGCCGGGAGCCCAGCGCCCCGCGGGCCGGGGCGGGGCCTCGCTCTCGGCCGGACCGGCGGGCTCACAAAGGGGCCGCGGCGCTTGGGCGGGCAGCGGAGCCGGCCGCAGGGGCCGCTGGGAAGTGGAGTCCGGGCCGGGCGCGGCGCAGGGCATCCTGGGACTGCCCTCCGTGGGGCCCGGCCGGCGGTTCCTGCTCCTGCCGACGAGTCGTGCAGCGGTCTCTCCAAGCCCCGGGCCTCCCAACCCAGACGCAGGCCCGGCTCAGCCCGGCCAGAACGACCGGGTCCCGCCCAGGCCCGGACCGGCCCGATCGGAGTGCGCTGGCGCAGCGAGCCCGGTCCCTGAAGGCACCCAAGCCGGGGTACGCTCCCGTGTGGCGGGGCGAGGTGCGCATGCGCGGTGGGCGGGGCCGCTGGTCCGGCAGTGAGAGGGGAGCTGGCGGTGAGAGGGGAGCCGGCCGCGCTGGGTGGTCCGGCGGGGCGCTCAGCAGGGCGCTCCCCAGGGGGTGTGTGCGGGTGGGCGGGAGCGCGGCTTGCCGGGGTCTCGCGCCCTTCGTTCCTTTTCTGGCTTTCTTGTCTCATCATTCACTTATTGAGCACCGGCTGTGTGCCAGGCATGTTGCAGGCGCTGGGCACACACCTGAGCCGCGGAGAAGAGCCCCCACCCTCCTGCGGCGGGAGGAATTCGCGGGAGAGAGACACGCGGAAGGACAGGTGCTCTGAGGGAAAGCGGCGGGGATCCGTCGTTCGGTCCGTTCTGCGCCAGCCGCGTGCCCGTTGGGGCCTCGGCCGTGGCGAAGTCGGGTTCCGCGCCTCAGGGCTTCCGCCGCAGCCACCGACGGCGAGGAGCGCGTGCGATGACAGTTTACAGCCAGGAGGTTTGTAAACGCGGGTCGTTCTCGGGAGATTCCCTGAAACGCGGACAGTCGCAGAAGGACGGGCGCGAGCGGAAGGAGGGTTAACGGCACGTCTGCGGGTTTGAGGACTGTCCCGCTTCATCAAAACCGTGGGGCGAGGAGGTCGCACCTCAAGTGCTGGTGGGTCCTGTAGGGTTTTTAATATTTTATTTGACAGAGATCATAAGTAGGCAGAGAGGCAGGCAGAGAGAGAGGGGGAAGCAAGCTCCCCGCTGAGCAGAGAGCCCGATGTGGGGCTCGATCCCAGGACCCTGGGATCAGGACCTGAGCCGAAGCCAGAGGCTTAACCCACTGAGCCACCCGGGCGCCCCGGGTCCTGTATTTTTTAAAGGAGGAATGGAGCTGTTGCAGTTGCACTAAGACAGCGACACTGGAAAACTGTTCCTGTGTAAAAAGTAGAAGGAACACAAGGAAAATTGCAGTTGGTTTTGTGTTTGAGTTTTGAAGTTCTGATGATCTCCCCCCTTGCCGTTTCAGGCCATACAGACAAACCTTATGTAAGTGAAGACGTATCCACTTCCAGGTTTTCGCAGCCGTTTCTACATTTCACAAGTGTATACAGATTGGGTATCTTTAGCCTGAAAGCGTGTGGTAACATTTTTCTTTTCAGCCATTATCTCTTAAGTTTCTTTTGTTGGCAGAACCCTCTATGAAACTTGGCGGTGGTCACTAAGTGAATCAAATTTACTTTGATATATATAAGAAATACAGTTTCCAGTTTCAAATCGATAATCAACAAACATATCTGCCCAGCATCTAAGTTTAATGTCATAAACTACATAATCTTCAGAAGTAGAAATAAATACAGAATCCTCAGAGACAGAAGGACCCATTTAGGGGTCCTGGGATGGAGCCCCGCATCAGGCTCTCTGCTCTGCGGGGAGCCTGCTTCCTCCTCTCTCTCTGCCTGCCTTTCTGCCTACTTTTGATCTCTGTCTGTCAAATAAATAAATAAAATCTTAAAAAAAAAAAGACCCATTTATTTTTCCTTCAGTTGTCAAAATGAAGATGCAATCCATTTATTTTTTCATCGGTTAATACTGGAGCAAATTTAAATGGTCTATTTTAATTTTTTAAGAAGCAGGGGGTTAAAGTTCTTTTTTTTTTTTTATTTTTTTATTTTTTGGCTATGGATGTGTAATGGCTCCAGCACTATTTGTTGGAAAGGCTAACCTTCCTCCATTAAATTGCTTTTGTACCTTCATCAGAAATCGGCTCAGGGGTGCCTGGGGTGGCTCAGTTGGTTAAATGTCCAATTCTTGATTTCAGCTCAGGTCATGATCTCAGGGTTGTGAGATGGAGCTTACTTAGAATTATCTCTCCCTCTCCCTCTTCCTCTGCCCCTCCTCCTCTTGTTTCTCTAACAAGGACTTGTATCCCAGAATATGAAAAGAACACTTACAACTGACTAACACAAATGAAAATTTAAAAATGGACAAAGGATTTGAATAGACATTTCTCCAAAGAAGATACACAAATGCTCCATAAGCACATGAAGAGGGACTCAACATTCATTGCCCTTGAGAAATACAAATCAAAACCACAATGGCACACCACTTACCACCCACTGGGATGGCTAGAATCAAAGTTAAATAACAAGTGTTGGTAAGGATGGGGAGAAATTTAACCCTCACAATGTTGACAGTGGGAATTAATATGATGCAGCTACTTTGGAAAACATTCTAGAAGGTCCACATAAAGTTAAGCATACAGTTATCCTATGATCCCAGCAATTTCAGTCCTATGTACACACCTAAGAAAAATGAAAACTTACATACATGCAAAAGTTAGTACAGAAATGTTCATAGCATCGTTGTTCATAGTCGGCAGAGTGTAAACCACCCAAGTGCCCATTACTACTCACCCATAAAAAGTGATAAAAGTAATGTAGTGCCAATATACATGCTACATGGATGAACCTTGAAAACTACACTGTGAGAGGAACCAATCACAAAGGACCACATATTGTATGAGTCTACTTATAGGAAATAATGAGAATACGCAAATTCATTAAGACAAAGCATTTTAGTGGTTGCTTAGAGCTGATGGGAGGAGATAAAGAATGACCACTAATGGATACAGATTTCTTTTTGTGATGAATGACAAAAATACTTTTAAGTTAGACTGTGGTGAGTTATACAACCCTATGAATATAATTTAAAAAAACATTGTACACTTCAAATAGGCAGATTGCATGGTGTGTGAATTATATCTCAATACAATTGCTAAGAATTGTTAAACATTATTAAAATTGTTAAAAATTAGTTGAGGGGCAGGGGCACCTGGGTGGCTCAGTGGGTTAAAGCCTCTGCCTTCGGCTCAGGTCATGATCCCAGGGTCCTGGGATCGAGCCCCACATGGGGCTCTCTGTTCAGCAGGGAGCCTCCTTTCCTTCCTCTCTCTCTGCCTGCCTCTCTGCCTACTTGTGATCTCTGTCTGTCAAATAAATAAATAAAAATCTTTAAAAAAAAAAAAAGGTTTAAAAAAAATTAGTTGAGGGGCGCCTGGGTAGCTCAGTCAATTAAACATCCCATTCTTTTTTTTTTTAAGGTTTTTTTTTTTTTGAAGATTTTATTTATTTATTTAACAGACAGAGATCTCAAGTAGGCAGAGAGGCAGGCAGAGAGAGAGGAAGGGAAGCAGGCTCCCCGCTGAGTGGAGAGCCCGATGTGGGGCTTGATGCGGAACTCGATCCCAGGACCCTGGGATCATGACCTGAGCTGAAGGCAGAGGATTTAACCCACTGAGCCACCCAGACGCCCCTAGACATCCCATTCTTGATTTCAGCTCAAGTCATGACCTCGGTTGTGGGATCAAGCCTGGCATGGGTCTCTGCACTGGACGTGGAGCCTGTTTAGGATTCTCTCTGCCTCTCCCTCTGCCCCTGCCCTGCTTGCACCTGTGTCCTCTCCCTCTCTCTCTCAAAGAAAAATAGTAACTGAAAATAAAAATTAGTTGGGTATATTTGTGTGGGCTCACTTCTGGATTCTCTTCTGTTCCCTTGACCTACGTTTATATCCCTTGGTCTCTGCTACCTGGTCTTGATTACATGTCCGTTTACACATTGTCTTGCACCAGTGGAGTTAAGTATTGGTGTTGGGTAATTTCTCCCACTTTGTTCTTCTTTGCCAAAATTATTTTAGCTATTTTATTTTTTTTATTTTTTTTAAAGATTTTATTTATTTATTTTACAGAGAGAGATCACAAGCAGGCAGAGAGGCAGGCAGAGAGAGAGGAGGAAGCAGGCTCCCCGCTGAGCAGAGAGCCCGATGCGGGGCTCGATCCCAGGACCCCGAGATCATGACCTGAGCTGAAGGCAGCGGCTCAACCCACTGAGCCACCCAGGCGCCCCTATTTTAGCTATTTTAGAGCATGATTTTCCATGTGAATTTTAGAAAAAGCTTATCTATGTCTACGAAAGACCTTGCTTTTATTTCCTTCTACTTGGTTTGGGTTCATTTTTGCTTTCCCAGTTTCTTGATGTAGAAACTTAGAATAATGACTTGAGACCTTTCTTTATTTCTAATGTAAGCATTTAGTGCTATAAAGTTCCCTCTTAGCACTGCTTTAAATGCATCAAACATACTTTGTTAAGTTATTGTAAAGCCAATCTACACTCTTGCTCTAGTGTTTCTCCTTTACTACTCATCTTAGTATCCTGACACCAGAAATGTGAGGGTTTTTCTCCCCCCAACATCAAGCAATTCCGCAACACCAGCTGAATGCCCTAAAATGTAGCTCAATTCTGACCCAATGTGCCTGAGTTTAGCATCACATCGCACAGATTAAGGGCTCAAGTCCCAGTTATAACCAATGCTTCTGACCAATGAGCTATAAGTTGGAGGTTCCCATGACCACCTTCTCGAGTTTGATTAATCTGTTAGAATGGCTCACAGAGTCAGAAGTTTACTTACTATTTATCCATTTATTATAAAAAGATACGGTAAAGGACACGGATACTTCCAGATGAAGGGATGCATAGGGTACAGTATACAGAAAAGGCCCTTTTCCTGGTACATGGACAGCTGTCTTCTGCCTGTGCATGGGAGGACAAGGGAGATTTCCAGGGCCTCTGTTCTAAGGGCACTAAACCCATTCATGAGGGCTCCGCCTAGTGACTTCATCGTCTCCCAAAGGCCCTCCTCCTGATACAACCACAATGGGAATTAGCTTTAACACATGAGTTTTAAGGGCCATAAACATTCAGCCTGTAGCACTGACGAAATGCATTCTGTTCACCAGGAAAGAAAACCTCTATATGGAAAGTAAACTCAGCGGGTTTGGTGT